ACTGCTTTTTTCCCAAAATCAAAACGTATTGTTTTGGTTATATTGAATTTTTTATGTACGACTTATCTAAAATGGAACGCTATTGTCTTTGGTCATTCGGACGCTTAAAATAATGGCGAAAAACAGCAGTTTATTTTGTGTGTTTGCAAGACTTGGAAAAACACATCGATCATGTGGATGTCAAACTTGTGTGTCAATACATCGTAAGAAATTTAATATGCATGTGAATCGGTTAAACATAGCTTTATTTGTAAATTGCAAATACTAGTTGTTCTACAACAAGCTTCCTTGATTTCACGAAAATTAAACTGTTTCTTCATCCTGTAGGTACTAGCATTGCAGAGAATACAGCAATACATCATAAGATGCTAGTAAATCGTGTCAAGATTATTCCATCTCCAAGGCGAGCAATAACGAAAAATTGGGAATTATTTTTTCTCAATTATGTCTACCATTATGGCAAAAAAAAATGGAAATAGGACAATCAAAGAACAAAAATGGAAAGAAAATTAAAAATGTAGAACTGTGTCCATTTTGTTGAAAAATTGTATAGCAAATGAATTTAATAAATGATATTACATGTACTTATATATTTTATTTTACTTGTCAATATGAAGGTTAATTACAATTTTCTTGTTTTTCCCAATTTTTTCCAATTTGATGCATGTGTCGACAATTTTTCCCAATTGAAAAGGCCCAGGCCCATTTTAAAATTTGTGGGGCTCCACTCCTTCCCCAGAATCATTCTTTATACCATCAGCTTGTTGTTCGACCTCTTTTAACATGTAGTTCTCCTATTGAAATTCCATACTATGGTTCGGGTCTTGGCCAGGTGGATGTTTGTTACCACTGTGGACAATCAAATGCTGATCCAAAATCAGAAATGAGAAATATGTACAAAACTGTATTACCAATATGTACCACTTGTGAAAACTCTGGAAGGAAGGTCTTTGTTGCCAGGCCATTTGGGAAAAAGTAAAAAAATGACATATTAAAACTTGATATGTTTTTTTTTATATTATCTTCTATACACTTAAGAAATTTATTTAGAAAAAAAATCCCTACTTACCGACCCATTATTTTTTAGGAATGTTACAGGAAACAAACATTTTTTTTAGGCCTGAATTGGATTTCAAATGATGAATGAGATTATTTTTGTAAGTAAATGATTTGCCATATGTGTCACAATTAAACTGAAGAGGCGTTGACTGCACCGCCTGGGTTAAACTTACGTCAAGAAAGGAGCCGTCGATAGCCTCATTTATTTCCTCTGGAATCTCTTGCATGTCTTTAACGAGGTATAGAAATACTGTTATTTTGGTCGAACAATTATAAATTCTAACAAGAGATGCTAAGGAAGACACGTTGTATAGGGGATAAGGAGCACATATGAATTTTTCAAATAAGTATACATACGTTCAACCCATAAATTAAAAATGTTAAAAGAAACTCTAGGAGGAAAGAAACAATCATTTTGGTTCTTGGAATGATTTCTTATTTTATTGCATGCATATGTGTATAATTACACGTTTTTTGGTTCATTTATTTTGATTTGGAAATAATTTTAGACATGATTCTCCGTCTTTATTATTGGTAAAAGAAAACAAAATTCAATTTTGAAATGTTTATCAAGAAGTTATTATAATGTATGAGAACTTCTTTAACCTCTTGTTCGTATTAAGCACCCCCCCCTATTTTTATATTCTTATGTATTGATGGATACACAGTACATAGTTAATACTTCCAATTCATAAATGAATATAGATTTTTAATGCTTCAAGAAATTTATATTTTATAAAAGAGTAAATATTTATTATCGTTTATCTATTTCTTCTAAATCGCGTACAAACTTTTATCTCTTGGTAAATGTTCAGACCACACTTATGAACAGACATCACTTACTTGCGTACTGAAAGTTGTAAAATAAACGGCTGATTCAACTTGACCGAACGAAAAAAACAAAGAATGAATGAAAATATTACAAATCAAGAAATTTGCCGAAAATTTACATTTTTAGATGTACTTGGGCAAGTAACTCTAGATTGTATAAAAGACCACTTCAGCGTGCAGAGGTGGTTTGAACTGCTACCGATAATTATATAGCACGATTTAAAAGATTCTAAACATATAATGAAAAACAAAAATTTGTGTAATTAATATGAAATACAATTCTTTTTAGAAGTGTTATACGATCGCTTCTCATATGCTGTCCACATGTCGTTGACGATCGCATTGCAGTCGTCAACATTTTCTGTAAAAAGTCATTTAGATGCAATTGAATCCAGTTTCAAATAAAATGTACGAAACTCATATTTTAAGATCAATTTAATAACAACCTTTCGAGTTTGTGCCATCCATCTCAAGTCTTTCTCGTTTTAAGTACAAGTATCGATATTAACCCAAATTAACTTCTTCCTGTCACATTTTATATTAATTTTCACTCCCAGATATAAAAATCTGTTTAAACTTACCCGATATCAAATTCACTTCCTCCATTCCTCGTAATTTTAATTACACGTTTTGGGGAGGGGGGAATAGAATTGAACATATAAAAAAACAAGAGACCATCTGGCCTAATATGTCACCTGAGTATGATGTAACAACTTTCCAACAATTGATCAAATTTGATTTGTTTTAAACCAGAGGCCAGAAAATTCACAATTTTAAAGAGGCACCATTGCTCATTATACCTTTATACACTAAGCATGCTTACTATGGTAGATCAGAGTAACAAAGCGCAAATGCATTTCCACTTTATAACCACCAGTTGTGCACCCTACACCAAGAAACCACTGACCCTGGCGCCACATATTTCAGTCTTAATTGCTATTCTTTTGTAAGACACACTCTGATATTTCTTTCCGAAAATGTTCTGACGATTTGTCGGTTGTGATACAATTTTCTTTTTAAATGAGTGGACGTAATTTTTTAATATTCCTCCATGAAAAATTAAATGGCAATTTTATGTCCAAAGAACTCTGAATTACTGCGCTACACTTTGAAACAAGAGGCCCATGGGCCTTATAGGTCACCGGAATATCATGTAACAACTTTCCAAGAATTAAATTTGATTCGTGTTTTATACCAGAGGCAATGAAAGTCGCAATTTTATGCTTACTTTGGTTACTTACATGTAATACCCAGAGGTAGATCAGAGTGACAAAGAGGAAATGCATTTCCACTTTATCAGTTGTGCACCCCATCCCACGGGAACCACTGACCCTTGGGCCACATCTTTCAAAATTTTGGAAATTTTATGAATTTCATTTCATCTTGTTATTGATTAATACCAAAGTGCAGAATTCAAAGCATTAAATTATTTTCAGACTATGTAACCCCTCAAAATACCTCTGACCCAGGGGCCCGGATATTAACCATTTTGGAAGAAGCAGCTTTCTTCGTCGTAAATACGATATGTACTAAGATCATTGGAATAATACCCAGGAGCAAAGGAAAAGATTTTCAAACAATTCATGCATTTTCACTATATAAACATTAGAGCCTTGCCTTAACACACAAAGCCCTGACCCAGGGACACTAAAATTCACAAATCTCAAAGAAGCATCCTTCCTCATAATAACTATGTACATAGCTCATTGATTTAATACCCAAGTGCAGAAAAGAAGATTTTAAAAGAATTTATGCATTTTCACTATATAATCAAATAGAGCCCCGCCCTAACACCAGAACCCCAAACCACAGGGGCCATGAAATTTACAATTTTGGAAGAGGCAATTCAGCATAACTATGTACTTGGTTAGTTTATTTAATATTCAGGAGCAGAGAAGATTTTCAAAGAAATGATTCATTTTTTACTATATAATCTTTATGGCCCCGCCTTAGCACTTGTACCCTTGACCCTGATGCCATTAGATTCACAATTTAGGAAGAGGCAGCCTTATTTAATATAGCTATGCACTTGGTTAGTTTATTTAATGCCCATGAACAGAGAAGAAGAATTTCAAGAACTTATGCATTTTAGCTTTATAATCTATATAGCCCCATCCTACCACTAAAACTCCTGACCCTGGGGCCATGAAATTCATAATTTTGGAAAAGGCAGTCATTTTCAAATTAACTAAGTAGTTGGTTAGTTTATTTAATGCCCACAAACAGAGAAGAAGAATTTCAAAGAAATAATGCATTTTCACTATATAATCTATTTAGCCCCGCCCTAGCACTACATGTAGAACCCCTCACCTTGGGGCCATGAATTTCGCAATTTGGGTAGAAGACTTAATGCTGATTACAATCATACCAACAGTTTGACTGCGTGGTGTCCAGGAGTAAAGAAGAAGAATTAAAGAAGGTTTTTAAAGATTGCACTAATTTTAAGGGTTTTTGCCCAACCCCCAGGCCCCAGCAGGGACCACAATTTTTGTTCCCTTTCACCCATAGATACTTTATGCCAAAATTAGTTGAAATTGATTCAGTGGTTTCAGAGAAGAAGCTGAAAATGTTCAAATGTTAACGAACGACGCACGACGACGGACGAAAACGGATAGCAATAGGTCACCTGAATTTACTCAGGTGACTTAAAAATAGAAATAATTTTAGCGTTGCTTTTCTCAACATAAAGAATCTCTTTACTGAATCATGCTTATCATTGATCCATCCTTCATTTTTAATGACATGCATTTTTACATATCTAATAGGCATTTTTGTGCTTTTCATCTTATACTGAATACTGCTTATGATATCTTTTGCTTGGATTTTGTTTGCTACTGTAAACGCGGTAAGATTTCTACGTCAAATTCTATTGTGACGTTAGTAAACCCACGATCTACCTTCAAGTTTTGAAGATATCAGTAGCAGTTAGGATTGAAAAAAAAAACCCATAAAATTTCTCGAAAAAATGTACATGTTTAAATTGTATTTGATACGGATTTGGTTCTATACTTATATTTCTCTAAGGCTGTTCAAAGTTAATTCTACGTTTAACGTCACATCTAAAGTTCAAAACCTACGAGGGAGGGAGGAAAAAAATAAACAAACAAAAATTTCAAACAATTGTGAATTTATTCAAATAAACCATTTCAGTACATTAACTAGAATTGAGTAATAAGAGTATTGGATGTGACACCTAAGTTTAATTTCCCTAGCAGAGTTTTTCCTTAGAATGTTAATTGGTTTGAGTCCTGTTGTGAGCAAACAATGTATACTGAATGTGCAGGAAAGTTGCTTGTCCTTTGGATTTATATTGCCTCACATCCATGGTACCCTGTAAGGAAATGCTTCTTCTTGTGGGAATAGTTGATCAATATCTACAATAAAGATTATGATGACAATATTTAATACATTCTTATACTGAAATATCTTGAAATTGAATTATGTTGTATTTTTTTCTCACAGTACTAGATCTATTAGTATTTAGATTTGAAAGTGCATTACATATAGTTTATTCTAAATACCTTCAATTCCACACACAGGACATGGTTCTTCACTTCTTAAAATACCCAACCACTTTCCTTACTCTCCTTCACTTGAAAGGCTTATCTTCTGTAAGCTTCTCCCTGCTCAAATGGCAAAGACTAGTATTATCTTTCCAAAAACATGTAGGTATTTATACTAGGTACGTACTTGAATTATGAAGAAATCAATCTTACTCATTACTGTTCCTTTAAATTTTTACAAATATTTAATATGAAAGTATTTGATAAAATTTAAATGATGCATCTCACTGTATATAATTTTTTTTACACATCTTGCACTCAGTTAAAAGCTCTGCGATTCTCTCCAAAATACGATGAAAAGTTCAGCAAACATAACAAGCATTAACACGAACTGAAAGTCTGTCACTGTCAAAGTCTGTACCTGTGATTTGAAGACTGACGAAAAAAAATCAACAAACTAGACTTCTTCATTAACTACAATCATAAAAACATCAATTTTTTTACTTACATTTATGATCCCATACTGTTTAATTCACTCCTTTTCATTTAATAAACACAAACACCATCCACTGAGGCATCAAAGCACATTTTCTGTCACTACGGGATGCAGAATTGAGTCGCTAAATGTAGAACCAAACCGGAACGGAAATACGGAATTCCGAATTGTTTGTTTTTTTCAAAGACGATTTTCTCCAAAACCTACGCGCGCGGGTGACGTTAAACATAGAATTAATCTTAAACAGCCTAAAAAGTGAAACTAAAAAATGGAGCTGCCATGTTGAATATTAGAAGCGTGCGTGACTGACGATGAGCATGATTTTGAAACTTCGGTACGTTGAGGGCTCCGTGCCATGTAACCACTTCAGAGAAAACTTAATGAGGATGAAAAAAAGAAATAAAAAATATATGAACCATAAACAGAACGGTTCTTCCTCGACAAATGGAGGGACGGAAGATAGATTGGTTGATGTATAAGGATGTGGTCATCAGGTGCAACATTATGTATATTATGCAAAGACACACGTACCTGTCCGACCATCAAGAGTCATTTAACTTAAAAATCTCAGCAATCGTCGATCATGAAAAATGCAAATGAAAAAAAAAACTTGGCAAAGTCTGTTCACCAATCTATTGCCTGTAAGTCCCTGAATGCCTTGAAACAATGAAAACGCTGAAGAATTGAAAATTTAATGCGCAATATCCATGCTGTTGTGAAACACAGTCGGCCCCTTATGGACTATGTTTGGCTCCGTCATCTCGATAAAACTAAAGATATCAACATAGAGGAAACATAACATCTGATATATCTCTATACTAAATTTCATTTCAATATGTGCAACGGTTTGTGAAGAAAATGAACGGAAACTAAGTGGACCGACAGACAGCAGCAAAGCAATATGCCCTTCCTTCTTCGAAGGAGGGCATAAAAATCATATATTTTTCACAGATTTTCTGGTAAATTTCTTGTAAAAACTGGTTCACTCCTCCATGACACCTGATGCCACCGAGGATTTGGAGGACCTCCGTGTTTGCCCTGCCTCTATTTTGTATAGTTTTATTGACTGTTGATCTTGAACACTGTTCGTTATCTCGATGTTTCATTGAAATACATCATTCTGATGATGAAAGCTCCAAAATAATCCCTTCTTTATGAAGGTGTTTGAATTGTGAATATTAGGAAATCTGTTTTACATGTACATAGAAAATACCTGATTGAAGATACATGTACACGAGAAGGAGTTATTGCCCTAACGAATGTTTTTTAAGATTATTGATTGGATGAAGAATATAGAAATATATATTTTTTAAGTTCTTTAATTTAACAATATTTTTCAACACACCTGGAAGGCATTTAAAAAGCACGCATACAAGTATTTGTATATTACTGATTGATTTAAGAGCGTGCGCTCATATGTAGTCATCCAGTTTTGGTCAGTAAAAAGTGTAAAATTGGCTAAAATTTTCTGTAAATACATTAATTTCCTAGCTATTCAGTAGTTACATGTATTTCCTAAAACGATTAAATACATGTATTGACTGGATGGTTTATGAAATACTGTGAAATCAAAAATTTTCGGGGGGGGGTAGTTTTCGTTGTTTTCGAGGTATGCAGAGACCCACGAATTCATGTCCACCACGAAATGTAAAGATGTTACATATGTAATGGTTTGGGTCGTGGATATCGGCCTGGATAGCTCAGTTGGTCGAGCACCTGACTAGAGATGCAGGGATCCCGGGTTCGATTCCGGGTCCAGCCATACATTTTCTCCTTTCCTGTTACAGATTTGGTGCCGTTGACCACCCCCTGGTATTGCAGGTGAAAGCCCTGCCCGGGGCTTTTAGGAACTTGGGTTGTGTCTTCGAGGGCGAAGAACATTTAAGGAGGGAGGAATGCAATGGTTTAGGCCGTGAGTATCGGCCTGGATAGCTCACTTGGTAGAGCACCTGCCTAGAAATGCAGGGGTCCCGGGTTCGATTCCCGGTCCAGCCACTCATTTTCTTCTTTCCTGTTACACATAAATAACTAATCAACAATTCTTTATTCACGAATTTATATTCCCACGCACCAAGAGTTTTTACTCAAACCGTATTATATGCGGTTTCTTTCTTCTTTATGACGATGATCTTTAATTCGGAAACTACCTTTCGAAACTCTCTCTTAAAAATTTGATTATTCTTAATTTTAACCACACTTGAGACTTCGGACCTTTCCTGTTGGATTCAATACAATAAAAGCATGCGTATATATTAAAGCAGTTAATAATTGATGCTCCGTGAACAGGTTAAAATGTTTTTAGAGATATTTTTTAAAGAATTTAATAGAGTAAAATGAAATCTATTTTATTTCATTGTATAACCTAAAGAGAGGAAAAGGGGTGGGGGTGAGTATGATAGAAATATTTTGGGTGTGAATAAAGTTTTCTTCTATATATTTCGTGAATATGACATTTGAAAAAATTCATTTCATATATTATAGGACAATCAATGTCAAAAAGATAAAAGAAAAAAAAACATAACTGCATTTCTATGCCTTCAAGCACGCAGGGCTTTAGTAACGACTTATAGAAAACACGACATGCATTTATTAATTTTTTTTTTTCAAAGGTGGGATGTGCTAATTTTTCACAATATACATAACACTTTTATCTCTCATTTTTATTTGGTAGATTTTGTCTTTAAACATGTATACATTGTATTAATTTCACTGTAGTCTTTTTTATAGAAGTAAAACCTTGAAGAAGTTAAGTACAACCAACGACTATATTTTCTGTTCTGAAAATCGTTTATCCGCCCTTGTAACATTCAACTTTTATACACCATAGTTTAATGTTCAAAACTATGGAACAATAAAATTATTTCATTCGAAAGACCGGTCTCCACGTCCCACAGTTGGATTCGAACCCGCGATATAAGGATTAGTCCTTACATGTACTTTTTGCGACTCTAATGCAGACGCTCTAACCACTGCGCCAGGCGGGCGGCGAACCTATGGGATATATGGATGTGAAACCATCAAGACCAACAGATCATTTACCATAGAAATGAAAAAATAGAATACTAATGTGGAATGGATCTGTCACAACAGTATACGTCAACGAATCCTATTAGAAGACTTTCCAAGAAATTCTGGAAGTACTTCATGAATTTCAATTTGGAAATATGTACTATCAACAGCCTTTTTTCCACACTGTGGTTTTACACTCAAGACTTTTCGTTGGACAAAACATAGTCACCCCTACTAATGTTATTATGATTTAAATTCAAGACACGTGGTCTAGGTTTACCTATTCAAAGGTTATAGGGTAGATCCGGTTTTATAAATAAAACTAGCAGTAAACAAGAAATTGCTAGTCCTTATCCTTTTTTTTGGATAGTCTGTTTCTTCTGAAAACATGTCCTGTGAAAAATGTGTGTTTCCACACCTTTCTGAAAGACTTTCATGATTTTCAACAGAAATGGGTGGCTTTAGGGGGGTAAATAACAATTAATACATCTTATAGTTAACTGCAAAAAATTACAGCTCACTAGCGACCGATACGCTGGTAAAAAAAAATGTGTAATATCATCTACACTGACAAACCTTCGTTTGCCTTATATTGCTATTGCTATTAATGCGCACAGAGGATCTTACCACGATCAGCTGACCAATTAATTGTTTGAATACGTTTACGCCAAATTCATGTTTACGTGTTACTTCGAACACGTGGTTCAGGTCAATCTATGATCATGCCAATGGAGTGCAAAATAAAAAAATGTTCTTATGAACAAAATGCAAACATTAGAAAACTATGAAAAATATTTCGGGCTTTTTAAATTTGTTGTTAACTAGAGAAAAATATGTTTAATAAAATGTATACGTAGTTCGTGTCAAGTTCAGAACACCAGCACTTCAAGGATAAGGAAAACAAGTAGAGCTTTTCAAAAAAGCTTACCGTCTTTAGCAACAATTTTAAACAGTAAACAGATCTATACTTAACAGGCCGTATAATTCTTTTGAATTTCTTGATTTTGTATTTCTAAATTAGCTTTTTACGGGCATTAGCCCTACCACGGTTGTCGCTCGGTCATCTCCGTAAACTTTGACTGGCCGAGAGCTTTCGGCAAACCTCGGCTGATTCCCATTCACTCTTCAAACAAGAAAGGGGAAAGAATAATAACAAATTGTAAAGCCTGCAAGCAATAACTATCAAATTTTATTTATAATGAAATTAAAGAGACCTTTTTATTTATTGCTATAAAAATATAATGTTATTAAGAAATAATTACTGCTGATTTTGTTGTTCGTTTTGTCATTTTTTTAAGATTGGAAATCTTGCAAAATTGTTAAGTCGTACGAAAAATAGATCATCAGAAAGTTATCTCCCTTGCCTTGAACAGCATTTCAACCAATGAAATAATTGAAAATTTTCTCATCATGCAATTTCTACCAATCACAAAAGAGAGGAAGTGCATAGTCCGAAGACTGTAAAAAAACTTCAACTATACAATACCGTCTTCCAAGGAAGACGGTAATAAGCAGCTTTTCGTATGCATTTAAATAGACAAAACATTTTTAACATAACTATACTCGTGATCACGTGTGTTGGCCAGGGAATCCACCTGGCAATTGTATTCACCGATAGTACAATAAAGGAATTTATCAAGCGTAAAATTCCTGTAGTATTCGTATAGTAACCCATATTTGCAATTCTCATTCATCTGACTTTTTTCAGTTAAAGTCACGCTGGTGCCTCATTTGCTAATCTGACGCCAAAAAATATAGTCTCGGTTCCCATGCAAAATATTTGTCCAAAAAGAAATTTTAATTCATGACAGCAGAAAATTGTATCATAGAGAATACTTAAAAATAATTTAAACTTGAATGGATTCATGAAAGATCGATTGAAGTACATTTAGAATTACATTATAGGGTGGTGAAAACTAAAACGCAACATAACTTTTCTGTTACCATGTCTCCACGTGCTAGTCACTTCCTAGCCACATTTCCGTGAATAATTTACCCTATCTCGCTGAAGTCTCGCTAGCTCTCGCCAGAGCCACTCTGAACTCACCGGGTTTTATAATG